CAGTGGGTTAAGCCTCTGCCTTCCCCTCAGGTCATGATCTCAAGGTCCTGCGATAGAGGCCCGCCATCAGGCTCTCTCCTCAGCAGGGAGCCTGCTTCCCCATCTCTCTGCTTGCCTCTCTGCCTATTTGTGATCTTTGTCTCTCTCTCTCTCTCTGTCAAATAAATAAATAAAATCTTAAAAAAAAAAAAAAAAAAGGAAAGAAATGGACAAGAGGGGCGCCTGGGTGGCTTAGGCAGTTAAGCATCTGCTTTGGCTCAGGTCATGATCCCAGGCTCCTGGGATCAAGTCACACATGGGACTCCTTGCTCAGCGGGGCGCCTGCTTCTCTCTCTGCCTACCACTCCCCCTACTTGGGCACTCATGCTCTCTCTCTTTGACAAATAAATAAATAAAATCTTTTTAAAAAATGGACAAGAGACAAATAATTATTTAATCATAATTGTAACAAATGCTTAAAAATAAAGTGTGCAGTGTACCAAAGAACCAGAAGGTAGCAGGACAGTGCTCTCCAGCTGGGCTAGAATAGTAGCTAATGAATTATTAACAGACCCCTGGGTTCGACCAAGCAGTTCTAGAGAGTTTTGACTAGCTGTTGGGAGACCACTGGGAAAACTGTAGTCAGAGTCAGTGGTTAGAAACAAAGCCAAGGAAATCTGAAATCCTACAGTTGAGTGAGGCTTGTCTCTGGAATAATCTGAATGGGAATAGAACTGGCTGGGTGTTAGATTGACGGGTTTCTGTGAACTGGCCAGCCTGCAGTCGGACGTGTCTTCTGAGCGCTGTCCTGCCTGTTTCAAACATTGGGCCGCCACTGTCCGGTGAAGCACTCCCACTGCCCTGCTCCCATTCATACGGGATCCAGGCTGGCTGGTGAGCACTGTCCCAGCACCACCATTCCTCGCCCATGTATTCCCCAATCAGACACTCTTCACAGAGACCCAGCATGTGGCAGGCCTCCTACCAGTCTGGGAAGACAGCACAGGGCTGCACAAAGGGAAGGAGAGTACTAGCTCACTTAGAGCTTCCCTAACATTCTCCATTCACAGTACCCTTAGGCCCAAAGAAATCCCTATCTCCCTTTGTTTAGAAGTTAGGTCCATGAGTATTTATATCTGAACAATGTCATAGTTTTCTGAAGATATACCTATAAATTAAAAGAAAATGTCATATTTTTATTTCACTCTAGGATGTGTGTGCCTGCTGGGCACGACACAACTTCTCAAGCCTTGAAATCAGGTTGGACAGCACCCCTCATTTCCTGTTCCACAGTGATTTTTTGTGTGGTTCTAGCTTTTTATTGCAACTGTTGAAAACCCAGCTTGGCAATGATATGTAGGAGAAAGAAATGTCAAATCTTGAATTATCTCTGCTCACTGATAAGATGTCAGACAGATGACCTGTTCCCTCAAATATTTAAAATATCCTACTGTAGCTATCACGTAAGGGCACTGTGGTACCCCAACACCCGTATCTTGATTTAGTAACACATCTCTGCTTTCAAATGTCCAAACCCACCACAAGGCTTCTCAAACAGCGAGCACTTAAATATGTGTCCAGTAATGTATATACCTCCTTGTGCATTTTGTGCCAGATGTGAGTCACATGTATTTCCCCAGCACTCTGCCTCTGATGTGGGTGACTCTAAAGGGTTTCAACTAGACAAATACAATAGAGGATCATGTTTTCTGAACTGCAAATCCAGATACAAAGGCGGGTGAACTTATAAAGATGAAGACTGTTACAGGGCCCTGCCCTAGGAGTTCTGGACCCCTGGTCACCTCCCAAGAAAAACCCAGCAAAGGATTAACCTCCAAGTCCAGAGCCAGCTAGATCTCCTAGAGGCTGCAGAAATTCCTGATTTCCCCCATGCCTGCCTGCAGCCTGCCTTAGGAGAAATTAAGATGGAACCAGAAGCATGCCTAAAAGACTACCTGGCATCAACCTCAAAAATAAAACCAGCAGTTATTTTACCAGCAAAGCGAGTTTACTTGGCAATAGCAGAGGAATTGCAATTTGGTACAAATTATGGCAAACCACAGGCAAGTCTAAAGAAACAAAGGGAAGTTCAGCTTTTATTAGGTTTTAGGGAAAATTGGAGGTTTGTTTTGAACAAAAGTTCACTGGAGAAGCATTTGGGGTTTGTCATGGGCTGCAAGCCATGGTTAGCACATTGGAAGGGCAGAGAGGGATCTTCTTTTGTCTTAAAAGCTGGAGATAAACTCCTCTGTGAAAAGTGTCCTCTTCTGTCAAGATAATTTTTATCGTCCTTCTTCCTGCAGGTTATACGGGCTTCAAGGAATGGTACAAGCAGGAAAGCTTTCCCTTTCGGGCTTCTGGACTTCATTTTAAATGAGGTGTCCTTTGTAGAGACTTCTACAAAACTCCATTGTCCCTCCCAGGCCACCTTTGACACACACAGGTAATTTATCTCTCTTAAGGAATCTGGCAAATAGCTTTGTTAAAAAACATCTTGGGGGTGGGGGTGGGGTGCCTGGGTGGCTCAGTCATTAAGAATCTGTCTTCAGCTCAGGTCATGATCCCAGAGTCCTGGAATAGAGTCCCACATCAGGCTCCCTGCTCTGATGTGGGAACCCTGCTTCTGCTCCCACTCCCCCTGCTTGTGTTCCCTCTCTCGCTGTGTCTGTCAAATAAATAAATAAAATCTTTAAAAAAAAAAGAAAAAAAAAATCTGGGGGAGGGGCGCCTGGGTGCCTCAGTGGGGTAAGCATCTGCCTTTGGCTCAGGTCATGGTCTTAGGGTCCTGGGATCCAGCCCTTCATCTGGCTCTCTGCTCAGCAGGGAGCCTGCTTCCCCCTCTCTCTCTGCCTGCCTCTCTGCCTATTGTGATCTCTATCTGTCAAATAAATAAAATCTTTAAAAAAAAAATATGGGGGAGGGGCACCTAGGAGGCTCGGTTGGTTAAGCATCTGCCTTCAACTCAGGTCATGATCCCAGAGTCCTGGGATTGGGTGGCATCAGGCTCTGTGCTCAGTGGAAAGTCTGCTTCTCTCTCTACCCCCTGCCCCCTCTACCCTGCTTGTGCTCTCTCTCTTGGTCTCTCTCTCTGAAATGAATAAATAAAATATTTTTAAAAATTGGGGGGGGTGTAGACTCTTGAAACACTTTAGTACATTTCTAAAATAGGTTTATTTATATATTTTAAGTAGGCTCCACACCCAACATGGAGCCCGACATGGGGCTTGGCCTCACGACCCTGCGATCAAGACCTGAGCTGAGATCAAGGGTCATAAGGTCAACTGACTGAGCCACCCAGGTGCCCCTATAATAGTTTTATTATACTGACTCTTGAAAAATGGAACTGTTAAGCATCCAACTCTTGACTTCATCGCAGGTCATGATCTCAGGTTTATGAGATTGAGCCCCGCATCAATGGGGCACGGGGTGGTCCATGCTCAGCAGACAGTCTGCTTGAGATTCTCTCTCTCCCTCTGCCCCTCCCCCCTTTCTAATATAAATAAATAAATCTTAAAAAAAATAGAAGTGGAACTGAGGTTGGAAGCAACCTGAGTTCATCAATAGGCAAATGGATGAGGAAAGGTGAGGTACACACACACACACACACACACACACACACACACACACATGAATATTATGCAGCCATAAAAAAGGAGATCATGCCATTTATGACAACACATAAAGAGTATTGTGCTAAATGAAACAAGTCAGACTAAGACAAATATTCATATGTAGAATCTAAAAAAAAAAAATAAAACAATTAGGCAAATAAAAAAGGGGAACCAGACCTGTAAACACAGAGAACAAACTCATGGTTTCCAGAGGGAGTAGGGAGTAGATTAGCAAAATGGGTGAAGGGGAGTGGGAGATACAGGTCTCCAGCTATGAAATGAATAAGTCACAGAAATAAAAGGCGCAGCATAAGGAATACAGTCAATGATATTATAATAGTGTAGTAAGGTGACAGATGGTAGCTACACTTTGTGAACACAGCATGTTTAAATGTGTTGAATCACTATGTTGTATACCTGAAGCGAGTGTAATATTGTGTGCCAATACAACACTCAAAAACAAAAATAATAAAAAATTTCATTGTCTTGCCCAAAAAGGTTGAAATTATGCATCTTAGCTTCTTGTTGTCTGTGATACTTCACAAACTGCTGCATTCCTACCTTGTTCTAAGGCTTAATACAAAAATATTTAAATCACTGTCTCTCTCTCTCTCTCTGTCTCTCAAACACACACAGAGTGGAACTAAAGGAGTTTTCTTTAGTGATGAAAATGTCCCCTATTTTCTTGGGATGTGAATAACAGAGGTGGACAATCAGGAAAAACTCACTCAACTGTGGAGAAATGCATCGAAAAATGACAGAGTAAAAATTATCAGTACAAACTAAATGGTCAATACCGGAGTGCTCACTGTACAATTCTATTTGGGGGCATGTTTTAAAATGTCCCATGATATGTACACCTGAAACTAATCTAACTACTGGAATTAAAATTAACAACTAAAAAATAAAATGAAAAATAAAAACTCCTTGCTTAATCAAGGTAAAAAATATGCACATCCAGTGACCCATTCATTATTCTCTTGGGCATATACTCAACAGCAATGCATAAACATAAGTCAAGAGACATGTATTTTAAATCTTACAGTGGCATTGTTCATACTAAGCAGAATTCTATTGGCAAAATGAGTAATAGTTATTCACAGATATAAGAATTGGGAGGAAAAGGCCACTCATATTCTTAAGAAATAAGTGTTAAAGATAATTTTGCTTTTTATGTTTAATAATTGCATATCAAATTATGTAATGATTTATGTTTTGATCATTTCCCAGTTGAGAAGGAGAGAAATTTTTTTAAATGTTTATTTATTTGATAGAGATCACAAGGAGGCAGAGAGGCAGGCAGAGAGAGAGAGAGAGAGAGAGAGAGACGAGGAAGCAGGCTCCCTGCCGAGAAGAGAGCCCGAGGTGGGGCTTGATCCCAGGACCCTGGGATCATGACCTGAGCTGAAGGCAGAGGCTTTAACCCACTGAGCCACCCAGGTGCCCGGAGAAGGAGAGAAAATTTTTAAATAAAAAAGTAAAATGTCCATGATAAAATGTTAGAAATTTTTAAATTAAAAAATTAAAGATTTATTTTCAAAATAAAATTTAACTTGGAGCGCCTGGGTGGCTCAATTAAGCCTCTGACTCCTGATTTCAGCTCAGGTCTGGGGTTGGTGAGTGTTAGGTCCATTATTAAACGAAATGAGACTGAGACAAAGTAAAAGTTATTTAAAGCTTTATTTTACGCCAAGTATTAGAAATCAGACTGATTGGCCAGGGGAAAGAGACTGAGACAAGGTGAAAGATATGCAAAGCTCTATTCTACTCTAAGCATTAGAAGTCAGACTGACCGGCCAGGGCTGTCTCCAAAGACAGCCACCACCTCCAGCTTACAGGCTCAAGAATTGATTGACTGACTGACTGGTCAGGGCCGCCTCCGAAGAGGGCGACCCCTCCCCATCTTACAGACTACCTTTTATAGAGCAAAAGTCTGGCCACACATAGGTAGCCAATGAGATTGTAGTCATGTTAGGTCACACACAGGTGGCCAACTGAATTACAATTTACCCTATAGTAGCTGTTTGACCCAACCTATTACTCTGGTCAGAATTAGTGCTCAAGGTTGGCGCCCAAACGGCGGGGTTTACATTCTTTGGTGGTTAGGGAAAAAGTATGTGTGTTTCTTACTGGTTGGATGTCTCCACCTGGCCCAACTCGTCCTTGAATTCTGGGCTCTGTTATCAGGAACTGGCAGACCTGCCCTTGTATTCTGGGCTCTGTTATTAGGAACTAGCTGACCATATTTTACTGATTTCCCAGACTTGCTTCTAAGTAAGTTTCTCTGGAGGGAGGGGGGGAGGGTCACTTTAAGTTTTACTGCACCAACAACAAAATGGCTTTTAACCAAGATGGAATCGCTCTGGCTAAATAGGTCCTTACAGTGAGTTCAAGCCCTGCACGGTGGAGACTACTTAAAAAAAAAAAAAAAAAAAGTCTGCTACTAGGGTGCCAATCCCCGGACCCTGAGATCATGATCCGAGCCAAAGGCAGTCACTTAAGGACTAAGCCACCCTGGTGTCTGTCCCCCAAAAAGCCTTTTTAAAATTAAACTTTTATTTACTTGAGAGACAGAGAACGCTCACTTGGCCAATGGGAGAGGAAGAGGGGGAGGGAGCGAAAGTCCGAAGTAGACTGTGTTCAGGGTTGCTGAGGAGGGGCTCAAGCTCACCACCCAGAGATCAGGACCACAGGGAAAATCAAGAGTCCAACGTGCTTAGCGGAATGTGCCACCCAGAGCCCCCACCACCACCAAAAAAAGTCTTATAAATAAATAAATAAGTAAATAAAAGTTAATTCCACACGTAAGATGTACATCAACGTTACCTCAAGCAAAACAAAACAAAAACAAAACACCAGACCTAAGGAGGGGATGGGTTAAAAAACGGAATAGAAGAAAATACAACAAATCTGTTGGCTCACTGATTTGGTTGTTCTGAGCACACCCAACCTCTGCGCAGCTAGACGTGTCCCGTCCTGTCCCCCGCACTGCCCCGACTGCCAGCACCCAGGACCCCGCGCCCCAGCTGCGTCAAACCCAGCGAGGCAACGTCCCCTGTGCTCCGCCCTGCGCTCCGCCCCGCCCCTCCCAGGACGGGCTCCGCCCCTCCCGGGTTGCGCCCCACCCCGCCGCGAGTAAGCTGGTCCGGGCCCCTAGGGACCCCACGTAGCCCCGCCCCCTGGATCCCGCCCCGGTCCGCCCTCCGCTCCGCCCCGCCCTGCGCCCAGTGCTCCTCCCGGATTGCTTCGCCCTGAGCCAGGCTCGGCCGCGACCCGGCTCGCCTAAACTGTGCTGTCCGCTTTGGGGACGGTGGGCTCGTACCCGGGCGAGCAGATGCAGGGCGCAGAGGTCGACCCCGCCCTCGCCGCAGTCACGCGGCAGGTCAGCGGTCTCGCCGCCCCAGCCACAGTCCCGAGCGGCCCAGAGCGCGGGCAGCCCCTGGCCGCTGCGGTGGCGGAGCTGCCCGTGCTGGACGCCTCCGGGAGGCAGGTGCCTTTCGGCGCGCTGTTTCGGGAGCGTCGGGCTGTCGTAGTCTTCGTGAGGGTGAGCGCAGACAACGGGGAGGCCCGGAGTAGGGACTTGGCCGGCAGGCTGGGATGGAGGTTGCTTCTACAGCTTCGGCTGGGGGGACATCGGGTCCTTCGAGAGGTTCAAGGCCCGAGAGCGCGGTCCCGCTGGGCCCTGGCCCTTCCCGTTGCCGTCCACTAGAGGCTTCCGGAATGCGAACCGCTTCTCTCGCTTCCTTTATTAGAATGGAAAACCAGCCCTCCAAGCCAAGTCCCTTTTCCCAGCAAACGAGAAGGCCTAGGGGAGTGGGTGCGGCCCAATATTAACGCCTCTCGGGCGCCCTTTGCGCCCTTTTCTACCCGCTGTGAGTAGCGTTAATTAGCGTCAGTCATCCTATCATCATAACGAAGTACTTGGTCTTTTCTGAGTCCTGAGGTATTAGTTGCTAACTTGTCCTTTTTGCCGTTTTGGGATTTCAGCACTTCCTGTGTTACATTTGCAAGGAATACGTAGAAGATCTGGCCAAAATCCCCAAGAGTTTTTTACAAGTAAGTTTCCAGAGACTGAACAGCAGCGTACCCTGCTTCAAGGCGACCTTGTCAAAGTCACCTGTCATTTCTAAGAAGCAGGGTGGGGTGAGGTGCAGAGGACAAACACCTCTCCAGAACAGACCCCCTTGCAAGCCCAGATTATCACCTTCCCAAACATCTCTCCAACACTTTCAAAAAAAGAGAGAGACGTTAGAGATCTATTTCTGTCCTGCTTTATTCGCTACTGCCTGCTTATAAATATACTAACTGTAATAATTTCGTTGTTAGTAACCTGTTGGCAAATGTTGATAACGACCAGAAGCACAAACGCTAGAAATTATTTGATTTCCCTTATTTTTTAAGTAAGAACACTCCAAATAGTTCATTATAGGAAAATACAAATATAGCTTAAGGGTTGAAATTTGTATTTGTTAGGCTGTGCCTCCCATGTTCCTGTGACAACCACATACATATGTTCTTTGTCAGGCACATATACATTTGTCCCCAGGTGAGCTTTTCAGTGAAGGAATTGGACAACCTTTGTAAAACTAAGATCTGTTTTCATCAGGTGTTATGAATAGGGATGTGAAAAAATAAAACTGTCTGATTAGCCCTACTTCAATAATTTTTATTCTTGTTTAGTGTACGCCTTTGGAGGGAGCATAGATTTTTTTGAAAATTATTGAGTATATTATTTTGAAGTTCTTAGCAAGAGATTGACTGAATTAACAACATTTTAGCATACATTGCTTTGCTTTGACTCACACAATTTTGCTGTTTATTCCATTCTTCTATAAGCCTGTAGGTGGCATTAGAATGGAGCAAAAGAGTTGGGCAGGGGGAGGTTTTATAAAACATATATAATTTCTGGTAATATGTACTTGTCCCTTTCCTCTCCTGAAGGAAGCAGATGTCACTCTAATAGTGATTGGACAGTCATCCTATCATCATATCGAGGTAAATATATCAGAAATTGAGAAACTAACAAATCTGTTTCAGACATAAAAATTATTTTATTTGAAACATTAAGTGTAGGTTAAATTTGCTAAAATAAAGGTAGGTTGTCATTACTTTTCTCTCATTTTTACTTAAACAAATTCCAAATACCTTTTTTTTTAGCCTTTCTGCAAACTGACTGGGTATTCTCATGAAATCTATGTTGACCCTGAGAGAGAAATTTATAAAAAATTGGGAATGAAAAGGGGTGAAGAAATTGTCTCCTCAGGTAAGACATGACACGTCTCATCAGAAAACACTGATGGTGCATTTGCACATTTCTGTATGTATGCATAGGGAAACAAATGGTAAATTCATAAATCAGGCTGCTTTTTATGATTCTGGTAAGTGGGCCAGGATACACCAAGCTCTCAAAGATTTATTTCCTGGGTGTAATGACATAGAAGTCTATTTGTGAAGTACTAAATGCGTGAAAAAAGCAAGTTGCAGAACAGTGTTTTAGGTATGATTCTATTTTTGTGGAAATAAAAATAATTTTCATAAAGATTGAGAGTAGATGTGTGTGTAATGAACAAGGTTTTAGAAGATATTGCCATGCTTACCCCAAGGTATGGAAGTTAGGAAAGTGGCCTTTGTATTTTTAACAAGTTGTGGCTAATTCAGGCACAGTCTGGGGTGACATGCCAAGGAATTTGGATTTGTTCTGGGGGAGTGGGGATGTCATACAAGCATTTGAAGTGGCGAAATGATAATCCTCTGTCCAGTGTAGATGAGTAATTGGAACTCGCCAAACCAGAGCTAGTATACCATTGTAGTAGGTTGTAGTAATAGGCTAGAAAGAAATGTCAGCAGATATGGAGAGAAGGGGATGGGTCAGGAGCTATTTATGACATAGAGTTGACATGATCCCTTTACTGATGTTTTTAAGGAAAGCAGCCTAAACTTTATTAAAACTAATGAGCTAGAATAAACACACCAAGTGTGCTCTTTTCTTTTTCTTCCTGGTATAGGAAATTGCAATGTATACTTTGTGAACCTTACTTAATGGTAGATGGTTTCTGTGTTCTAACAGTCCCAGCATGTGCAAGTTGTTTATCATTTAACACTTTAGATCTAAACTGCGAGTTTCACCTTAGTAACACTTCACAGTTCATCGGCTCAATAAAAATACAGAATTGCAAAGAAAACAGTTGAATTCTAAACAAAATATATGCTTATAATTATTAGAGATGGTATAGTCAAATCTTTTAAACTCCTGTGACCTGTGTTCAAGGGCTGTATTTCCAACCAGAAAATATTATTCTCTCATAAAATCATCTTTTAAAAGTTTCTCTCTGGGGCACCTGGGTGGCTCAGTGGGTTAAATCCTCTGCCTTCGGCTCAGGTCATGATCTCAGGGTCTTGGGATCGAGCCCTGCATGGGGCTCTCTGCTCAGCGGGGACCC